CAACGAATGCATTAGCTGATTTATTATAATACTATTAAGTTTTGCTTGTAACTTCATTATGTGACCGGGATCTATTGATTGATTGAGATTAAAAGTAGGCTTTCCCCTTCTTTATCCCTCAACATTACGTGTATGAGTAGTTGAGTCGTCAAAGTGCAAAGAGGTGCCTAATAAATAAACTCATTTCCAAATTTAAAATGTTACTAAAAAGAATAGATTATAAAACAGCGCCATGGATATGGGATCAACATGATAGTAAACTTAATAACTACTTCTTTTGAAATCGCACTACTTGTACTCGCATAATAAATAAAATTATATACCGAATATTAAAAGTAAGTCATAATTATTCTCTAGTATCACTAATTATCTGTGAAATATATGAACCGTATCTAATAAACTGTACTGCCTCAATTCATTCGCTTTGTTGATGAAATTTAACGTAACGTTACCCACAAAGCTATGATAATTGTATACTCGTAATTATATTGAACCACTAGCGTGTATTAACAATTTTTATACGTACATACATATTAGTTTAAAGATATAATTTATTTGGGATAAATTTTATTATTTTCTGCTTCGTTTCTAGGAAGTTAATTGTAGGGTGTTAATATTCCGTAAAATAAGCAATTTTATTACGAATGTTAACAAATAAATGTATAAAAGTTTTAATTGCTAACATGTATAAATACACATGCATAGGTATAAATACTGAAATGGAAATATATTTATACTTTTTTTTGTTCCTCTTTTCCTATCTGCAATCGGTTCTTCCATAATAGCTTTAATTAGATAATATCTTATTAAAAAATTGCGTTTTGAGGAGCAGTCCACTGACACCTCTCTCAGAATGATTTTATAAAGCACTTCAAGTTCTAGTGTCCAAGTTTAATACAAGTCATCGTCTCAGTCTTGTAGATAGCTGTAAGTAGTTCTCCAGCCAGGTCATTTGTATGATTTATAAGGCGCTGTTTATATTTTTTGCGTTCATTCTTTAACAGCAACAACTTAAAAAAAAAATAGAAAATTCACAATTAGGTGGTGTTTTTAACAAAACAACTGATTTTGCATGAGTTGAAGTCGAGTTTTTTGTGAAACACAATCTTAATAAACTGACAATATCTAACTAACTAGACTTTTACAAAGAGGCGATTTTTATTTTCCGTGTACTTGTATAGCATTTTTTCCCTAATACCTACTACAAGAATAATTTTTACGATTAAGAAATAGATAACAAAGAATATTTCATAAAAGCTAAATTTCTTAGATTCAACATAGAGCTTAATCACAACGAAATAAAATTCGTCGACTTCAATATTGTCAGATTTGCAAGTAAAAAGACAGTTCAAAAGAAATTTACCTAAGACAAAAACGGTGGATACAAATTGCGAAAACGTGCTCAGATTTTCTCTAGATCTGACAAGTGAAATCTTCTGAAAATTCAATAAATATACATATGAATATAGACATTGTATATATGTGTAAATGTTTGCAGAAAGGATGTTGGGTATGTAATGAAAAGTTTATCGAAGCAATTAATCACAAGGAAGTCAATCTGTCAATTACAGGCTGCGAGTAGGTATATATGCATGTGTACAATTAAATATTAACATTATTAAAACACTGGTAGAATTACTTATTGAATATTAATATTTTATTATTAGTGAATGTGTTTTAGGCACTGAAAAAAATTATAGTTACTATTACTTATAGAATTTAAGTAAATTATCTACTACTAAAAATACTGCAGTAACCACTAAACTCTATAAACCATGGTACTTTAAAAATTCTATAAAATTTGTTTACTTTACACTTCACTATAACTAATCAGATTCAGCTATTGCAACTAATCTTTAGAAACTTATTATTGAACATTAGTAAAGCAGTTTACTAAAATCGTTTAGCTTTAAGCTAAACGGTTTTTTTTTTTTCAGGGAAATAAAATTATTTAAAACCCAATCAGAATTGATTAGCATAACTTTGTAGTGGAAAAAATCCTTAATTGGTTTTCCCTCAAATTAATACTTGAGGCAGGGTCTACCTAAATCAGTTTGTTGGAGAGAGACTAAAGTTAAACTCTGACTTTCTACTGGAGAATTAATTATTCAAATACAAGCCTGATATTTTGCAAATACTCACGAGACCTGGTAGTTAGTAATATTAGCGATACTTTAGTACCATAGGTCGTAAAGCGTCGTACACTGAAATATTAACGAGACTAGTCTTAGCGGCCTTCGTTGTGTAGCAGTTAAAAACATCCCTTTACGTTCCGATGGTCATAGTTTCGAAGCTGGTGCAATACAATATATTAGATATTATATTAGATATTTAGTATTTAATTAAATACCTTATACGTATTGAAGTAATGTGAAAATATTGTTTCAATGTTTTTGTTTACTATTTACAAGGAAGAAATTGAGAAGGCTTCATTCCATTAAAAAAAATGTTAGTAATTTCATAATCACCGAAAATAGACCAAGAAAGTAAATATATAAGCTTAAGGCTCATTACATTTAGATTATTTTGTTACCTGTCTGCCAGACAAGTAAAAAAATAATCTAAAAATGGATTCAGAAAATTGCTACAGACTGCTACTACTTATAATTCGTAATGATAAAAAAACTAAACATGAAAATGTTCACAAGGACTGCCTGAAAAATTTAAGTATAACATTTTGTCAGAAAACTGAAAAGGAATCTAAGCATCTTTTTAAAATACTTATTACAAGATCTCTTGAGACTAACTACTTGTAAAGGTCTTCATGCAAGGAAGTCGAATGAAAGGCTTATTCTATACATAAGTACTATAGGATAAATCGAAATATTTGTTGAAAAGGTGAAGTCGAGCCGATGTTAAATTGCAGAAAATTGCCTTCCTTTCCTATTTCAGAGATAACGAGTTCGCCTCAAAGCGGTGCGCACGTGTGCGTTCGCTTAATGAATACGGTTATGTTCAATTTTTGTTACAACAAACTAGGTTTTTTTTTTATGGAACTTAGAGTGGTAAACAAGTTATCGGCTTACCTGATGAAAAGTGACAACTGACACTTATAAATATGAACAACATCACGAGCGTAACAGAATATTCTGTGACACCCCTGCGCTGCAATTTATTAGAACTACGAGTATAGGTTTTGCAATACAATTCATTCATTCATTCATTCAATCATTCATCCGTAACTGTGTAATTGTCATGCTATTATAAAAAAATTGGCATATCCCAGGCATTAAACCGAAACAGGCATGCACGTATAACTGTTATACTGCAGAAACACAAGTGGAACAGAGGCACTCAACTCACTCAAACGATTTTTGTACAAAGTCGCATTCTGATACGTTACTTGAAGAAGGGATGCTGGATTTCTCATGAAAATATTATCAAAATTTTATTCAGTGGAAAGTCAATCTGTAAGTTATATACTAACTTACTAATACAGTGTATTTATATCAAATGTGGGGTAAGTATAATAATATAGTATGGGATTAAATAATATTTTATAGCCACCAATGTTATTAATTTAAACTTTGTTATTACACTAACGATTATGACGCTACCGTCGCCGCACGCTCCCTTTTGGACTTAATCCTAGACAGTACTTAAAATCGATGTTAAAATCTTTAGGTTGATAATCCATCGAGTTTCTGCCTATTTTAATGTCTATGTCTGATAAATATTCAAAAGTTATTCCATTTTGTAAACTATTTCAGTCTTTTATTAATGCCTATTGTGTTACATATGTCTCGGTTAATACAAATAATTTTTTTTTATCTAATTAAACATATTATTTTTTATAGCAGGAAACAGTGGATGAGATTAGCACAGAACCATGATATGTAGTGCGACAAAAGGATTATTCTGTGTTTGTGTCTGACAATGAGTGGGTGAGAACTGATTAGATATATATATTTACATATGACTTGGTAAAGAAGTTGACAGCCAACCTGCTGGGAAGTGACAACCGTAACGTAACAAAATACGCTGTATCGCCCACGATATGGTTCTTGTGTTGCCATTCTTGAAGACTCAGCGGTTAGGCCTTCGCAGTAATTCCAATATACTAATATTTGTGTTATAAACTCATGTTTGTATATTAATTATTTCATCCTTTTTATTTATAATTTACCTCATAATAAATTTAAATTTTTTTGATACCTTAGCAGTTAGCATGGAAAAAAGGTATCATAACCTTTCCCGTTGTTATCAATGAGATATATATACTAACGCTCAGATATATTTTAAAAGGTTCTGTATTAAACTTTTACCTTATAGCTAAGCATTGCACTAACATATCTATTAAATAGCACTTATTGCTTGTCTTTCAATTTCTTTATGCAACTTTATTATATCGATTTAATAATATTATTTTAAAATACTTATACTTTGTACTCCTGTTTCTATTATAAAATGTTTGTGTTATTTATACACGCGACCGGTTTTGGAACGTCTCCCTAGGTGTGTTTAAAAAATGTTAAAAAATATTTTTCGATATAATAAAAGAGAAGTTTTATTTTCTCTCACAATTTATATTTTAATGTCTACTGACTGAAAAGACTATCCACGATGTAGTTACGGATTAAGAACAAACAAAGTCAATTTTAAAATATAAATATTGTCTAGGTAATAATAATTACCTAGACAATATTTCGATTTTAAAAATAAAGCCATTTTGCTATCAGATTGCAAAAGGATATGCTAGACTACTGCGTATTGATTTAAATTTAAACAATATTGCTAAATTGCATTTTTTTATATATATTATATATTTCCCTTAAGAACACTTAAAATAATGTTGTTCAAACTATTTTAAAAATTAATAACAAAATTGTGAAAAATGCCAATACTTATACAGTATAATTTTATGATGATTAAATCACGTCAACCTGTAAAAAAGTACCAATCAACGTATCTACATAATTTATAAATTATGAACTCAATAGATCCTCATATAGTCGTTTACTAAAAGTAATTAATTCATTGTAAACATTTCAACAAGTCACCTGTGAGGCTTTCTTTCTTCTTCGTGTTCCTCTTTCATAAAAGACGGTTGCAGACTGAATCTGCGACGAAATTGGTGTCTACCCTTCATATTGCTCATGGGCCGATCACTTAACACATACTATTACTTTTTATTTCACAATTGAGTTTCGGTTCGTGCGCCGAAAGCTCGCAAATCGTGCCCGGAGTACAGACGTGCACAACGCAAGGCGCTCCGTCAGCGAATGAGGGCGCCTAGGGTACACGCCCCCGACGCACTCTACGCAGCAGGGACTTTGAAAATTGGAATGCGTTTAAAAATAAAAAAAAAAAATATTTTTCTACCTTTTTTTAATTAATTGTTGATGGTATTAATAACAGTACTGGCCAGTAATTTAATATCGAATTTGATATATTTATTACTTATTTATCATAATTGTACTTGAGAATTGGTAATATTAGATGTTTCATCATTTAAACCTCCCAGGAGTGTTAAGAATGCAATAAGTATCTATTTACTAAACAACAATGTTTCACGATCTAAAATATCTTTATTATTAGAAATAAATAAAGACGTTTCCTTCACAATGATATACACAATGTGATACAAAAATACTTTAACTTTTTTAATTTTTCTTATACAGGACAAAAAAGCAGTTTTAAATTTGGAACTTAAAAAATAATAATCATGTTTTATAACATTTCAGTCACGTTGTTTGCGTTTATGAACTGAAAATTAGTTAGAATTACGGCACATGTAAAGTATTTTTGTTTTATATATAACTTTCGTTCTTTTTTATAAGTTATATTTTTTCAAGAATACTCCCAATCTAAGAGGAATATGTTTACATGATCAAATTTTTGTAGTTAGTAATTAAATTAAATAATACATTCTGTGGTACAAATATTATAAGTATAATCAAGTAAATATGAGTATAAACGCGCCACAGTTATTTAGCGATTTTCTCTTAACACTCACGGATCGTATTTACATGTTGAAGCTCAGGAAAAAATTTGTTGTCAAATAAAAATCCCACATATTTCGTCGTAAATGGGTACTTATTCGAGAATCAAATCCAAAGGGTCCTAGATAGAATTATTATTTCTACATAATTATTTTCGCCCGAAGCATTAGGTACTTACATTTATTCAGATCTTCAAGATCCAAATCGAATTGTATGTCAATATTACAAAGCGAATGCTAATAAGAGGTAATGTTAGGCAATACTTACTAGTTTTATTATTTTTTTACAGAAACAATGACATTAAAGGAAATCTATAAATACCAACTTTGTAAAATTTATTTGCAGTTGACTTATAACTTTGTGTTAAAACAGTAGTGCAAATATGTGGGCATATCAAGTATATATAGAGTTATACATCTTGTTATCAAGCGTGGTCTTGTCTCTCAAAGAGATATCTATCAGCTCAAGAGCCCGATTTAATATAATATAAAAAAAAATCAAATACATACATTAAGCGAATGACGTAAAAGAAATATAAATAAAGAATAAATGCACATATAATGTAACTAGTAGTAGTAGATCCATGGAAAAGAAAATTAGACAATGTTTCACAATTTTCTATAAGTCTGTATATGGCTACTGCATTTTTAAATTATGCATAACAATTTATTTTCTTTAAATAGGATAAAACAAAGTTACTATCCTTTTCTGTCTATTTCTCCAGTGGCATCTAAATCACGCAATGGAGTTTTTTATATAAATTTTGCGCAATATAGTAAATATATACATACACCGGCCTAAAGTAACTTATACAACATTAGTTTTATTTATATATAGGGAATAGATTTCTTAAAGGTCAGTAAGGCGCACTTGACACCCGGATGCCCATAGGCTACGGTAAACGTTAACCATCAGACGGGCCATATGCAGGTTTCTCACGATATTAGTATAAAAATATATATAGTGTAAATAAATAACACTGCAATATAAGTAAATCATACAATGTGTTGTAATAATTTTTACCCGAATGAATTCAGAGAGAAAAACTAGTATATTTATAAAAAGAAATACAATGGCTGACTGATAAATCAACACGTAGCCTAAATCAAGGTTCCTCCTGTAGGGTAAGCATTCACTATTAGAAAGGGTTTTTTGAAATTCCCGTGGGAAATCTTCCACAACGGATTCAACGTGGCCCAAGTCGCAGAGTTACTTCCTAATATAACATATTTAATAGAGTGATAAATGTCTATTCGAGGCGGTAAAGGATTTTTGAAGATTTCGGTAGTTACGCTGACAATTTAAAAAAATTCTGGCAAAATTTTTCACGGTATCATTTATTTTTATACATTATTCAATTTATTTAAATCTGGCAACTCGGTTTCATATGATTTTTTAAAATAAAATAGAACTCATATTACTCGTTGATAAATGTTTGTATGTTTGAAGGATTTTTTAAAATCTGTTCAGATTTTAATGAGATTATCCATTATAAATAAACAATTTAAGATTTTCTCTCTATAATATCAGTTAGACCACTAAGTTTTCTCGTATAGAATTAGAAAAAGAGTGACTATTCTATCCGTTAATCTACTTTGTTTTATTTTTATGAAACTTAGAATAGCAAACCATCTGATATACCACCTGGCGGAAAATGGTAATCGTCGCCTATAGGCATAAACAACGCCATGGTCATCACAGAAAGTATACTGTGATGTCAATGATACATTTTATCTGTTGTTATTCCTGAGGATACATTTTTTCTTAAACCATAATCAATACACATCACAGATGTAACATAATCAATATGTGTTTCACCAGTAAAACCGTCTTTAATTGTTGTAAAACCAGTTATTTTGTTTTAAAAACTAAACCACTAAACCGATTTTGAAAATATTTACAATTGAATAAAAAAAAAATTCCTAATCGGTTCTCAACTGACAGAATAAAGAGGTAGCAAATGTTAAAAAAAAAACATACAACCTTAGATTATATAGATCATCGAGTCTCAAAAATGGATTATGAGTGTTCTATATATTTACGCATTAAAAAGATGCGGAAATTATAAGACAAAATAAATATAGAAGTTATAAAGGAATCACTCATACACTCACTCACTCACGCAAAATTGTATGAAAAAGTTGGTTCGCTTTTCTCGAAGTATTTGTATGGAGATTTGAAAACTTCCTTCTTTTTTAAAGTAAAAGATCTAAGTATCTTAACAAAATGTCACATAATTTATTAGGCTCTAATATTACCTGTTAATTAGGATAGTATACTGTTATAATTTTGAATTTTTTTTTATATCGCCACAGGAAATAAAACCGTTCGCATTTATTTCCATTATTTTATATCCACTAAGGGTAAAGGTTTTCTATTATGCAGTATTACATGCTCGTAAATATTCGATATTTTTTTATTTTTCTCAGTGTTATGAAATATTTATGAGTGGTATAAAAATAGGCTTGCTTTATTTCATCGCTTCAATAGGAATGATACATTACTGATCACTTGGTTTTGGATATCTGGATCCGTTACTTATACCCATTTCCTTGAAGCGATATATATTCTTCCATAAAAAATAAGCCTTTAATAAATAAATCTCATATATTTCTGATTTTTGTTACCGATAAATATATAATTTCCTTATATTATCATTTTTTTCTTCTGTCATGTTGCACATAGTCTTTCCTCTTCTCCGCAGAGTCCTATACTGAAATTATTGCATTTACCACCGGATTAACTTACATGTATTTTAACCTAGAAAGCTTGACTAATTTCTGGCCGGAATCGCGCTCGCATCATGAACACTCATGATTAAGGGTTCCGCATGGTCTCGAAACTAGTCGAGATTAAAATACACGTAAGTTAAATAAAATATTTGATTTTATTGTTCCATCTAGTAGGTCGCTAATATGTTTGCCTGTATGGAGTATGTATGTATGAATAGAAAACATTTCGTGCTCAAAGTTAGCCTTTCATTCTTTTGTCATTATTAGGTATTATATTTATTATATTAAAAAAAAGCTTTATTTATGAAGTAAAATATGTGTCGTTTGTCAATATCTTGATAAATAAAAAAAAAATTAAAAGTAAATTATGTATTTATTATTATAAATACAAAATTACGTCAAAGATAATGCGAAGTTCTAATATTATATTTACATTGTATGCTGTTTAAAATTGCAACCTGTTTTCCTAAACTACGAATTTAGGTCAACACGGTCACAGCTTACCAAAACAAGTTTGCGTTGTGTAAACAAAATATTTGTATACATACTTGGCAACAGAAAGTAAAGAACAAAAGTGGATGAAATGAAGCAGGAGTTAAGAATGCGGTCGCCGTAAGCCCGGGAATTGGAAATTAGGCCGAAACGCTACTAGGACAGCAGGGTAGGTGTGAAAAATAACGCTCAACAAGTGAAAATCAATCTTTTGTGTGGAAGCGATTTCGGTAATACACATTGTGAAAAAAGTAAAATGTAGTTTATACATACATACGTTACAGCAAAAGGGGATTTTTAGAAAATATTATATAATAATGGAAATAAATAATTCCAGTATGCATATTCCTAATTTAAAATATTATTTATGAAGTATATTATCGTCCACATTGTATTTTAATCGTTTTATTAATCAATAATTTTCAAGATTAGAAATATTTTTTTTAATGAAATAGTAAAATTCTACTAATTCCAATATTAAATTCAATTTATTATTATTGTAGTTGTATTTTTTTGCGAAGTAAAACCTGCTTGTTTAAATAGTTATTTTCGACTATGAGATCAAAGCATTTGCAATTAAAAAAATAAATAAATAAAAGAATTAGGACCACATGGACTGACGTCCACTTGAAGAGAATAAATCAGCTCTAATGGCACTGGTATCACAGCGATATTCTCTTTACGGCTCTTTGCCTTCGCTTAATCGCCCCCGCGCGACGCTAATACCTATCTTGAAAACTCTTAAACGTTTAACTTTATTTTATCACATTTTTTTTACTGGCAAGAACGCTGGTAATTAAGAAAGTTTAGAATTTTTCTGTGACCTTTAAAATATAACATTATCTAAAAGAAGTAATGAATATTCAAAGTCAAGGGTTAAGTCGATGACAGATGTGCAAGAAATATTATGCATATTTAATTTATTTAAATGAAACTGAAGTTTGTGATTTATAAATCATCATGTCTTAAATTGACTACCCGTCGAACTTTATCGTGGAGTTTTAATAAAGGTTTTTAGGGTACCGTAGCAAAAAACAAACTGGATTGAAAAAGTGAGTACCAATGAGAAATATAGAATAA